CACTGAGAATTACTCGTCTCCATTGCATTCATATGAATAAGTAGCATTGACATTAGTTTGCTAATGAGTTGCAGCTTAACCTGTCCAACACTGTTCCACTACAGTGGCACCAAGTTTAGAAGCAGAATTTGCTATGTGGTTCTAAGAAAAAAAAAATTAAATATACAAAATCTCCTAGCGAGAAAAGTAATTCCTAGGGGGGTCACACATGACATTTTAAGGGTGTCTTTTGGCTAGTGATATGGCTAAACAGGGACATTACCTCATTAGCATCTGAAGTTGAATAAACCAACTCATTAGCAACTGAAGTATCCCCTATCCACTACAGATTTCCATTTGCCACCTGTCTTTGATGCTTGTTTTATGGATTGTTCACTTTTTTTTTTAATCAAATCAGTAATACAATTTCCTACTATTTATTATGGTTTTGATTGAAATGGTGCCACATGGGAGCCTATTGCCACTCAGACTCCCCCTAGTTAATGTGGAGAAAATAGAGGTTAGTAGAATTGTGAAAAGTAAAGAAGATGCAATATACACTCTTTAAAAGTGAAGTACTAGTTTAGAAGATATCTTACGCTGAATCTTAGTCAACATTTTACTTTGTGTTTCTTAGCACAACAACAAATCAAAAAAGTAGATAACATTTTATTTTAATAACATAGAATTTTTATTAGGCATATGTTTATATGCTTTTTTCAAAAAGTAGTTTATCTTGGTGTCTTCACTTTTCCAAAGACAGAAATTCAGATCCTTGCCCATTGTCTTCTATTTCTTTCAAAATAATTGTATTTAACTTCCCATATGTGATTTTGCATACTAAGTCTGGTTAAAGACAGAGAACAACTGCGGTGACTGAAATAGAGGATTTAAATTAAAACCTGAAGAACAGCAAAATAAAAGTCTGCAAGGCTGATCATTATCCTCTTCAATCACAGCATATGGCATGCCAAATATAAGAAATCCTACCCATGCAGTAGATATGCAGGAGCAATAACTCTTTACAGAAAAAAATAATGTAATAGAGAGTAGGTGATAGAGACTGAAAAGGAGGTCACACCCAACAACAGTTTTTATTGTTAGAGTAAAAAAAAAGAATCGAACCAAGAAACAACTCTAATTAATCTGTCAGAACAAATTCCTGACATTTTGAAAAAAAAACTGTTAGATGATTTTGGCTGCCCAAGAACCTCCAATATTCACATATTTAAATGTAATTTCTTGCATTATGCACTAGAATATTTTGCATTGTAAGAAAACATTTTTAAGACCCCAAAGGCCCCCCTGCTGAA